GTTTATTCATTCTTTATTCATTCACTTTAATTCTTTTGACGTTGCTACTCTGGCTTGTAGTTGTATGGTGCGCTGGTGGACTGCGTAGTGCAGTGTCTTGTGTGTGTGACTGAGGGACTGCGTAGTGCAGTGTCTTGGGTGTGTAACTGAGGGACTGCGTAGTGCAGTGTCTTGGGTGTGTGACTGAGGGACTGCTTAGTGCAGTGTCTTGTGTTCGGGCTGATGGACTGCCTACTCTTTCGGCCGATCTTGGCCCTTTTATGCAGCTGGTGATCTGAGACCTGGAAATAATTGCTTATTGCTAACTTTGATTATTGGTGACAATAATTGTGGGGCGTGGTAAGTGGGTCGAAGCTTAGTGCTTCGTTGACAATTGCTTAGTGGGTCAGTGTGTTTTTGCTGAGAGTGTTTAGCTGAGGCTGCATCGCAGTAGGTGCGGGCTGTAGTTGGCAAAGGTGATATCTGAATTTGGGTCAATGTTCCGAGGCCGAGTGGTTGCGAAATATCGCCAAGAAGTGGGTGACCGAGAATTTCGTGCTGTGTTTTTCGCTGATCGAGAGTTTTTAATTTTAGTAATTGCGTGCGTTGCTTAAGACTATTTTATTTTCCGGACGTATATCAGTTTGGTTATTGTCTCCCGCCAGCGTGGATGCGCTGACCCTCCGCCGTTTGTGACGAGCCATGGCTAGAACCATGGTTCGTTACAACATGTGCAGTTTTCATTGGAAAAATCCATGAATTTGGTCCTAAGTAACTATTTCTTGTTTCCAAACCTGAAAAAATGGATCGGCGGAATGAAATTTGAGTCCAATGATGAAGTCTTCTCCCAAAAAATGCCTATTTAGAGAGGTCGACAAATCCTTTAGGTAATAAAAAAATTTGAGAAATGCTGAAAAAAGTTTATAGAGCTAAAATAAAATGATTGTGTATCAAAAAAACTGTTTTTAATCCAAAAGGTCTCACTTATTAATCCGCCCTCGTAAATCCTGCTTTCAAATGACATCATTCGGAGCGGATATTATAACTTTTCAATTCATGTAAACTTTTAAAATCGAAGAAAAAACATATCCGGCTTCTTGCTCCCGTTCCCATTTGGTCAACATAAATTCTATCAAATGTAAGGGAGAGGGACCGGTTGTGTGAGTTATGTTTTTGCCTCATAACTTTTGACCAACTGCATATAATACAAACATATGTGCAGCAATTTAAACCTAGAGGTATTAGCTATCAGTGAAGAACTAAATTGATACCTTCATTCAGAAAAATTGTATCAAGAATTTAGTGAAGTAATTTTTTTTTGAGAACATAAATATAGTCCTAGTTGTGGACTACCCTGAAAAATCCGCTTAAAATTCAAAAAATATGAATTAAAATCACCACAAATAACGAGAAATTGGAAGTTTATTTATTTTAAGAGCCTACAGACAGATAATGCAAAAATCCTCCCTTTTCGGAGGACCAATTTCTTCCAAAAGTGATAGGCAGCTCGTTGAAGATGCACAGTGGTCTAAATGTTATTTATTTGTACTTCATTACCATTTACAACGATAATATGCAGTTTCGTAACCAAATACACGCATTGAATACAAAAAAAAAAACAGAGTGTCCACAACAGGTAACATGGCGTGTGTCATAACCGGGTCTAACAGACAATTTTTCCAAAAGACTAAAAAAATATGTTGTGCATATATTTTGGTAAAATGAAAATAAATCACAAACTAAAATGACAACACTACAAGGAAAACGAAACACTAAAATGTTTGGACACAATTTATATCCATTTTTTCGCACTTCATAAATAACAAAATTTACTTCTATGATTTTTTCCCAATTTTTTTGGATTATGTCCACAGCACCAATACCAAAGCAGCTATTTGTTTTGGTACTATCACAAAAACTGCGTATTTTTAAGGAATATGACTCCCAATACTCAGAACAGAGCATCTGCTTGCTGTCCAAGTTTTTGATGGGTAGGTCACAACTAGTACCTGGGGGAAAGGGCCCCCTTACTTTATCGGAGATGATAATGATGAATTCAATGCACGATGCGGTATCTCTACCGCCTTAAAAATATCTACCGAGTTGCAACTAGAGCAGCTACTTCACGAATGGAAAATTTTGTCCGGAGATATACTAACTCTACCTACTCTAACAAAATGGCGGTTGTCATAGTCGGAGATTAATTCCAACCAAGAGATATTGTTCTGCATCGAAGAAACAAGATATACTAACTCTACCTACTCTAACAAAATGGCGGTTGTCATAGTCGGAGATTAATTCCAACCAAGAGATATTGTTCTGCATCGAAGAAACGATCAATTGAAAAACGTCGCAGAAACCCATCGGTGTTCTGATGCTTTGCAATATCCACTCATATTCTGGGATGGTGCCAATGAACTTCATTTTAAAGTAAAAATGGTAGATCCAGTGAATCCTCTAGAATTAAATAAAAAGTACAGCGCTATGAACGCATACCGATTGAGATTCGGTTGAATGAGGAAAACTATTTTTTTAAATACCGTCAGTTGTTTCACCAGAACATAGTGGATGTGAATACAAAATTCGAAACGAAACGTTTGGTATTCCTCCGTTTATAACAGAAAAAACTACGCTCAGTATAATATATTAATTTGGAAAATGAGCTATTTTGCCATCTTCATATGTAGGCAGCCCTCGTCATATGCATGATTATGCTCATGATTATGCATATGTTCTTTACTACGGGCGTTTCGACATATTCATTACTTTCACATGCAATCCAGCTTGCAAGGAGCTACAATAGCTCTGGGAAGTCGTCAACGGATCGCAGCCCGTGTTTTCAGACAAAAGCTAAAATCCCTAATATGGAACTTGCAGTGTTTGGGTCCGTGCGCTATTGGAATCAATGGAATGACAGACAAGAGGACATGCGCATATTCTAATCTAAGTCTACAATAAAATAACTTCAGACCAAATCGACGATGTGATACGTGATCGATAAGGATTTGCATGCCGTTGAAAAAATAAATATGATACATGCAACATGAATCAAATCGACTTTTAAGCTTTTATGTACAGTGGGCAGTGGAAATAGCGAACAATTATAAGAAATATTTTACTGCTGCACCACTTGCTATAATCTATAGAATTGAATGGGGCGCATCAGGCTGGGAAATCCGATATCGACAATATCTGATAAATTTGGGTCTAAAATTTTTTTAAAGCATTTTTTGTTTTCATAGCAATATTGTATTTTTTTTTTTTTTGTTGTATGGTGTTTTTTATAGAGATAGTGCTTTTTTCATATAACTTAATTATCTAACATCTGGGTCTAGTGATGGGTGTAATTTTGGAAAGCAGAATTGAGCTATAAACTGGACCCGAACACGTTGTAGCTTAACGTCTGAGAAATATTTATAATGTTATTACTTTATATGTTTGGTCAATGAAAAACTTTTAATGGTCATAGTATAGTCGGTATAGTTTTTCTGAAAATAAAGTCAAAGTTGAAAATAGTCAAAAAATTTTATTGTTTGAAAAATACATCATTTTCTTTTTTAATATTGATAAAAGTAATAATTAATAAACCTAATAAAAGAGAGAAAAATGTTTGTATTCTACCTTAAAGATTAAGTATAATGCCGTGGCTCCATTGTGCGAGGGATAATAAACGTTCCTAGTAAAATAAAAAACAGCAAGAACCTCATTTATTTCAACTTTTTGTTAATTTTCGAACCTAAAATTTCGCTAAAAAATATTATACACTCTGCATTTTTGCGACTGTGGCTGGCGTCACTTTAAGTTTTTTAGTAGCTAACCGTTGCTTCAAACTTACGATTCAGATAAATGTGGAAATCAAAGAGGAGGCAAAAAACGAAAACTAACGACTTACTATCTGCTGCGACTGGCGTCACTTTTTCCTTTTGACGACTTGCTCTCTAATGCAGCTCTCGTCACTTTTCGATTAATGCTATTACTACGACGACTTCTGATCTTTTTAGAAGCTTCAGAAAAAGCAGAAGCAGATAAAAGAAAGATTTACAATTTTTTGCTTCTTTTTAGTCTCATTTTTGTCTGTGGGGTACGACATGATCATATCATGTATTAAGAGGCGGAGCCTAAATGAGAAGCACTCACTCACTTCAATGATACAGAGGAAAATACCAGTGCTCGTGTCCTCAGCGTTTGACTCAAACATGGGAAGAACTTGTTTTGAGTGTGTCTATGAAACGGTGGATATTTATGAATGGGGGTAAAGTACTGGTGTAAAACGAGACGAACCAATTCACCTGCGTTGCGTGGTTAAAATGTGAAAAGAACTTAACAGGATGTAATTAACCTGAGATTTTCCATATATGTATTTAATTACAAAAATTTACATTTTTGTAAAAAATCTAACCACTTCGAATTCCATAGCCATTGAAATATATGTACAACAATATATTATTGAAAGGTCAATGCTTTATTTCAGTATGAAGTATTATATGTACATACATACATTTAATATAAAATGTACAGCACTATATACGTAAATACGTATTCTACTATGCAATGCTAATGTGCGGAAGACTTTTTAGCAACAAGTTGAGATGCTACCTGAATTCACCAAGTCAAAACTGAGCAACTATTCTATCTATGTTTGTGTTAAGTCATGAATGGCTTGGTGTGCGTGTCGTCCGCCTGCGGAAGCATAGTACCAATGGTACAGGTGCACATGTTCGTGTCTGTCCGAGTATTATTGCTTCAGTATGCACACAAGTATAAGAGCGTATGTGAGACGAGTTTGCCTGAGATCAATTGATAGCCATAGCATTGTGTAATGTTGATCTTGTTTTGGTACCGTAGTGGAGCATTGAGTTAAATGAGCAAGCTCTTAGTTATATGTATGTTGGTTGGCTTGTTTGAAGGCAACTTCGTATGCATATGTATGTGTGAACGTCTTTCTGTTGTTTGAATGGTATCAGTATTGCAGGTGTTTGCAGTCTGCCTTTTAGAAGGTCATGGTTAATACAAGCTATCCTTGCCATGCAGTAGTTGTTGAGCATTGAATGAAATGTGTTCATAAAGTTCCGCAAAAATTTATGAAGTTATAGTCTGTCTATTCATTTTTGTGCGTATTCGTTTAAAGTGCTCGTTTTATTTTTAAATTTTGCAAACATATGCTGACATCTAAACTGTTTAAATTGCATCATAAACAAAAACTTAATATTTTAAGAAATGGAAACCTGCGTTCTTATACCAAAGGAGTTCGCATTAGTAACAACATCATTGACATCCTTTAATGAATCACAAGTAACTGTATATTCAATAACTGATATCAAGGAGGGATCTTTATTTTACCCGTTCCAAGGAACAGTTCGAACTGATAAATTAGATACGTTAAAACATGTTGAAAACAACGATGTAAGTACTTAACTTGTTTTCAAGATTGTCTTTAACTATATTTAAAATTAAGACAGAAAAGATGAATAGCTCTTTTATTTATTATTATTATATAACTAACGATGTGACTTATTTATGTTTATTAATAAAATATTTGTATCTATAAAATACACTACTCGACAAAATCGAACTTTTTTTCCTCAAGGATCCAAACCGACTTTTTCTGATAGATATGGGGCTTTAAATTTTTTTTAAAGAATTATGGTTTTTTTTCTATGGCAGAACTTTTTTTTTTTTAATTTTTGAAGTCTGGTATTTTTTTTTTAATTTTTTATTCACATAACTCTAGTAGCTACGTCTGGTTGTAAAGAACTTTGCTATTTTGTAAAGATAATTAAAACAGCTAGAAGTTAAGCCCAAACACTTTGTGATTTCAGCTTACCGTCTGGGAAATATAAAGCATTGAAATGCAAAAATGCTGATTTTTGTACGGTATTTTTTACGAAATTTTGACTTTAAAAACTCAGGAAAAGTCGAAAAAAATGATATCCTGTGTCCTCTATTTTTTTGTGTATAAATGCATTAATTAGTCGTATTACTAGGGTTGTGTATAAAAAAGAAACGCTACCTCGGAAAAAAGCTTTAAAAAAATACCACACAAAAATAGTTTTTTGCATTTCAATGCTTTATATTTCCCAGACGGTAAGCTAAAATCACAAAGTGTTTGGGCTTACCTTGTAGCTGTTCTAATTATCTTTTCAAAATAGCAAAGTTCTTTACAGCTAGACGTAAGATACTAGACTTAGGTGAAAAAAAGTGCTACCTCTGAAAAATGCTTTAAAAAAAAAACCAGAGTTAAAAAATTCTTCACAAAAAAGTTCAGCCATAGAAAAAAACATAATAAAAAAAAAAAATTTTAAGTCCCATCTCTATCAGAAAAAGTCGGTTTGGATCCTTGAGGAATCCTTTTTATGCAGTTCGGTCCAATAGTGCTGAAGCCTTAAGTATTCCAAACTGGAAAAAAAGTACGCTCTTGTTGCTTCTTTCGTCTCGATGGCATAATTATTTAATCCGAATTCAAGAAAAAACGAGAAGGAAAGTAGTTAGTCGCTTCTGAGGACGCGACTCTACTTTTATACCCGTACTCAGACAGTATTTAAATAGGGAGCTTATGATAAACTATGTGGAATTTTAAAATCTATATTATAAATTTGTAGAAAAAATGCTCTGTGTAAGCGGCTATCTCCGCAACGCGTGCACCAAATTGCATGCTGTTTTTTTTTAATTGATAACCATAGAATGTGGCCTGGTTTGCACAACAAAATTTGTACTTTTCTATAAATAGGTTCCTTAAGAATTAAAATTTAATAAAAACGAGAAGGAACGTGCGAGTCGCTTCTGGGGACGCGACTCTACTTATACCCGTACTCAGTCCGTATATACATTTTTAAGCATATGATTTTTTAGAATTATAGAATTAAAAAAAAAAATTTTACATTTAAAATTTTTTTGCTACATCTGCTATCTACATCTACAATATACATATATTCAACATCTAACATGTAGATTGTACATGTTCCATTTAGATTCTACATCTCCTCTGCTAGGGGTTGCTCGTGCACTGAACGAGGCAGAGTGTGCGAGCGAGAAAGGAATCAGTTGCAGGGTCGTTGGCAGGAAGGGGCAGGGGAGCAACTGAAAATTAAAATCTTCATTCTGGCTATAATTATGATCCGATCTGATTCAGATTCGGCAGTCTGGTAGATATGGGCATTTTCTACGACACTGCGTTTTTAGTTTTATCGTATCTTAAAAATTGTGCCAGCCACAGATTTTCGTTTTTTGTGGTGGCGGAAGGGGGCGGGGAGAAATTTTGAAATACACTTGTAGCAGTGTGATATCACATGAGTCTGGAAACAAAATTTGGTTCCTCTAGCTTTTATAGTCTCTGAGATCCAGGCGTCAAACAAGACGGACACACGGACAGAAAGACATGGCTCTATCGACTCGGCTATTGATGCTGATCAAGAATATATATACTTTATGGGATCGGAAACGTTTCCTTCTCTGCGTTACACACATCCACTTTTACCACAAATCTAATATACCCCTTAACTTTTTTTTGAGTACGGGTATAAAAATTTCATATTTGGTCTAAAAATGTGTGTTTGAACGCCTATTTCATTTAATTTTGTGTTATTCTATAGAACTTAATATTCTATGATAGATTTTGTTTTTTATAACTTTTTGTGTGAAAAATTAATTTCTAAAAAAATTGCAATTTGTTGCTTTTGAAAATGTGTGCGTTTTAAACCAACCAGTGTGGTTTTTAAAGTTAAATGTCAAGAAGATTAAATTTGGGCAGGCGAATTTGTGGTTTAAATTTGGAGCATCCGGTATTTTCACGTGGTCGACTGTATGTAGCGTACTCACGAGTAGGCAAACCTTCGGCATTAATTATTCATTGTACCGACGGCAAAACAAAGAATATTGTTTATCACAAAGCATTGCAATAAATAAAATATGTTATTACGTCAAAATTATCATTGTTTAATTTCGATGAATTCCTAAAAATTCAATTCGTAAGCAACGAAGCGCGCGGGTCTGCTAGTATTTTATATTTTACATTATTTTGCTACATCTTTCATCTATATCTACAATTAGCTGACCCGGCAAACTTCGTACCGCCTAACAGTCAATGAATGTCGTGTTACTTTTTAGCTGAACTAATTTAGGCTTTGATGAACGTAAAACAATGATACAAAATAATATATTTATATAGATAGAAACAAAAAAGTATTTTATTATGATGAATGATGATGAAAACATACATACAGAATGAGAATAAAAATAAAAAAAATAAAATATAATAATTAAGTACTTCAAACTCATGTCAGAAAAAAATGATTGAAAACTATGTTGTGCAGATTGGGAAAAAGAAATAAAACTCGGATTAATTCATTAATAGGATTTTCATTCAAGCACTTTGTGGTAAACGACATTCTTTGTTTTTTGGTCAGGCGCAAGAACAAATAAAGCGGATGGTTTGCCGACACGTGAGCATGCCACGTACAATTGACCATGAGAAAAACATGCATTTTTTAGATTGAGGCCACAAATAGTCAAGGATTGGCCCTGTGATTTGTTGATCGTCATGGCGAAGGCAAGACGAATCGGGAATTGAATTCGTTTAAACTCAAAGGGCATATCCGTTGGGATCATCGGAATCCTTGGAATAAGAACTTCCTCATCTTTAAATTTTCCTTTAAGTATCGACGCGTTAATCACATTGCTCATCAGTTTTCTTATCACCAAACGCGTTCCATTACACAGTTTTGGTTGGTTTAATGACTACCGAGCCAACTTTAAGTTTTAAATTGTGCGGTGGTAAACCAGGCACATCCAAAGAGTTTAAAAATTCAGTTGGATAATTAGTGGCTTCTTCTTCGTTTATTACACAGTCGATAGATTTGAATGAATACAGACTACCTACGATTTGATTTTGAATTATAAAATTGAGGTCATCTACATCTTTATTTTTAGCGGCCAAAATTGCTCGCTCACTTAACCATTTAGTATTTTTGTGGTTAGCAATGATATCCGGGAATACTTTGTTGACAAGCTCGTCTTTTGATGATACGAAATTGCAAAAATTTGGAGGAAATGAAATCAAACCGCTCGATTTGTCAACAGGAATACGGCCATTACCGATAGTCAGAAAAATGCTTCGAAAAATCATCAGCAGATAGATCGTTCAACAATGCAACTCTCATATTTACAGACAGTTGAAGTTTCTTTACATATCGCAACAGATTTGATGCTTTGAGACAAGCGTTTATTTCGTCGGCAGCAGTAGATCTTGGAATGACTGGTAGTGTTTGTCGGAAATAAAATCATTGCACCACCAAAACATCTCCATCAGATAATTGACTCGCGATATTCCCTTGCCTAATTGCATTACGGCTTCGCTGGGAAAGATTAGATCTTCTAGGACGCGGCATTGTTATTAAAATATGCACTCACATAAAACCACCAAACTGAATTTTTTATTCCCTAAATTCCGTTCCTTTCCGATGATTTTATGTTTTTACTGTAGAATAAATCTTAGGTATTATTTTCGGGAATTAAAAACTAAATAATTAATAAATAATTTTCGAAAATTAATGTCTAAAACAAACAAATATAACAGTACCTGAACTTTGTAGACATTTTACAAAAAATAAATTTCTGAACGCACACATGATGTCTTCAGAAAAAAATAAAGTTGTGGCTTAAAGGTCTCAGCAACCAGGCCTTTAAGCTCCAAAAAAAAAAAATAGTTGTTACACTATTTGACAGGATTGGACAACAAATGTCTGACATGTAATAAACAAATCAGCATCTATTGAAATGATTAAGTATTCATTACACATATCGAGTTTTCATTGTTGCATGTATGTATGTATTGGATGTATTCTGCTATTCGGGACGAAAACAAATCCAACAAATCAAAAACCATGGCAATCGGTCCAGCCGTTCTCGAGTTATAAGTGTTGTAACAAACACGACTTTCTTTTATATATATAGATGTAGATTTTATATCTACAATGTTTTTTCGTATCTTCAAAATTGTGAATGACACGGATTTTTGTTTTTTCGTGGTGGCAAAAGTGGGTTGGGCGAAATTTTGAAATATACTTGTAACAGTGTGTTATCACATGATTTTGGAATCGCCTCGGCTATAAATGCTTCTCTGCATTGCACACATTCACTTTTATTACAAATCTTACATACCCCTTAACTCTTCGAGTACGGGTATAAAAAAATAGTCGAAGTTTATGATTTTAACCAATTTTACTAATCTACGAAGACGAAAATTAAATTGTAATTCTTTGCATTTTTTGACTCGGCTATTTATGCTGATAAATAGTATCCGTTAAATGGGGTCCGTAACTCGTCTTTCTGCGTTGCAAACATCAGGTCAAAATCATAACACCCGCTTCAAGCATATATAAATTGTATAACTTCATTCTACTGGCTGC